TGCAAGGAGTCAACTGAACTTGTTCATTGGATTTACAGAAAAGATAACACTACGTCCCAACATATTTATCTTCCACATTAATAAAAATTGGGGGAAGGAGGGTAGAGGGCAACAGACATTTTCGACAGTGTAGCTCAAACAGGAACAACCTAACTCAAGTCAAAACATTATGCAGAAATATTTTTTTTCCTCCAAAAAGCACGGATTTGGGAGACCTGCTTACACCTGTATTGTCATTCCATTATATGTGCCTACTTGTACACACTTTCCAAAGCTGACCAGTATTGACTTCACTAGAAAACTAATCAAGTGCAAAGGGTTGCTGGCCTCAGCTAAAGTGTCTGATGTGCCAAGACTACAGACATACCTGGTAACTACGCTTAAGCATGTGATGGTTGTACTTATATCAAAATTCTTCCTTAAATAAGGATTAGAAACATTTCATGTTTTATATCTCATAGAACTCCTGCTGTGCATTCATACAAAAACATTTTGAAAATCAAGTGAGAAATTACAGTTTATTTTCCTTTCCTAGCAGAACTTGCTGTTTTCAACAGAAAAGACTCAAATGTGTTATTATGGTCTCCATACCACTCCTATAAATTTTTTTTTGAGGAACCAATTTACATTTATCTTACACTAACTTATACACGATTCATTAAGTGAGCAATGGAAGTTTTCAATACAACATGTATTGAACGAGGTATCTAAAACAATGTTGCATGTAACAGTGTTTCAAAAGATTTCAAGGTTGTAGACTCTAGCACAACTCCCAGACTCCAGTATTTTAAGAGTCTACATTTAGCTCAAAAATAACTGTTTTTTCTTTTTTTCCCCTCTTGTAAACATCACGGTTTTGAGCAGATTTCTTATGACTATGTACTTGTATTAATACACCACTTCAATCCACAAAAAGCAACTACTAAACTAGGGCTTTAAAGGCATTTTTTTCTGTTCTAAAACCTTTACTGAAAGTCTTTTTCTGAACTTTCTGGGAGAATGTATACAACAACCTCTGCCTGCGTAGCAAGCAGTCAACAGTAAGTACTAAGCTTGAACTTCCATCACCTTTGCAAACTCCAACACACAATTTTACACTACTAGAATGCACATAGAGAATACAAGAAATACACAACAGTGTAGTCATTCTATTTTAACTGGTAAAAGAACTTACTCATAGTTCTTCACAAGTTGATAAAGACAGAGAAGAATTCCAAGCCAACAAGCACTGTTGTCAGACTGAAGATAAAAACCAATTTTCTCCACAACTGCAGTCCAACGACTAGGGTAATCATGCTTGATAATATGGTGAATGCAAGTAGTAAGTTGTACTCTGGAAATCAAATGCACAATGGTTAAATAAACTCCTACTATTTTAAAAAGGTTTTTGTGGTCATGAAACAGCCAATTCTGCCTGAATTTAAACCTACTTCAAGTTAATCCCCCCACTTTAACTTCTGAACTTGGTGTATTATTCTCCATTCAAGGAACATCATAAAAAGGAAGCGACTGGGAGTCCATTTTTCTTTTAAAGGATTTTGTATTAGTAGATTTTTATATGCTGCACAATCTAAAAACTGTTTTTCTGTCTAGATTATTTCCATGCTTTCAATACATACTGTCATACAATAGCGTAAGACAAGAGTACTTTAAGTGTAGGTCATCTTAGCTACGAAAACAGTCAGGAACCACAATGAATTTGAAAACAGGTTAAAAGTATGTACCTAATCAACTCAGGAGAGTGAATAATGGCTTCTACGATATTTTCACGAATACAGTGTCTGTCTTCTTCTGGGATGGAGTAAGGTGGAATCTCTCCTGGTGCAGTTTCCCGGTCAGGCCAATATTGGGTTATCATATTTTTCAAGTAGATAACCCCTGCCAGATAAAAGCATCAAATCAATCAATAGCCACTCAAAGTGTAAAACAATCATTCAGCAGATGAATGAATTCTGCAGATGAAACAAGCAACTGCACTGGCCAATTCTAACAAGGATAATCAAAATATATTAAAAAAACAAATTAACCTAGTAATTGACTATATTACTTTTTTTCCATTTCTTATGACACCTACATTACCAGTATGAAAATATCAAACATTTTGCTTTCACCTATGTTATAGATAAAAGCTTGTGGAACTTAGCAACACAAACATGAAGACCTGTTCATAATTATTTTCATTAAAACAAAGCTAACAACTTTGCAAAATACTCCTTTTATTGTGAAAGAAAAAAGTGATTATATTTGCGATATAGAAGGGAACATTAGAGAAACAGAGCTGCTCTACACAAAGATTATAAGCCACCACTCTTTGCAGCTATCAGTTTGCTGGCAGAAACGCCACCTTTTGCCATTCATGAACCAAGCCCAAACTGCTTATATGGCAGAATATAGATTACAGCATTCGAAAAGGATTTACAAAATGCAAAAGGAAAACTCGAATTACAATTAAATTTATAGCAAATCTGCTATTAATCTAATTTTGTATACCAATCCATAAACTGCATTCTCTTCCCAAATTTTGCATGCAGTTATTCT